GCGGCACACAGGACGCAGGGTCGTCTGTCCATCTCTCAGTCCCACCAAAACACGTCAGAGAAGACACGGCTTCAGCAGCACCGGTTTTTAATGGTGTTGAACACAAGTAACAATTCACAAGTCACAGGTTTTACTCTGATTCTTATATGTGACTCAAAATAACGTCGATCAATGCAAGAAAACGATTGTGCTAATAAGTTACACGGTCAGCAATGTTTAGCCGGTCATAGGCCACGGATCAGACGGACCGACAGGGAATATTACCGTACGACGCAATATTATTGATTAATTTCTGCGAGATTAGTATTGATCCGAGGTGACCCTAATTAGGGTCGAATGTGTTGTAAATTTGTTCGATTTTTTTCACAGAATTAGCATAAATGCAGCCGGACTTATTTTGGGGCGAATTGCAACGACCTTCGTCTCAATAAAGTCCAACGTGCAGGTACAAAGGACACCAATGTTGATAATCTGTGTACCGCAGACAGGCAATAAATTGGCACAGGTTTTACGCTGGGAGACACCGGTTGATTGCATCAAGAAGTTCAATTGGTAGAAAATCTTTATTGTGATGCATCCTTCACTAGTCAAATATAGCACTGTTTTATAGGTTACCAAATGATATGAGTGTTTGTATGCGTGGGTTTATGCAGTGTTGANGGGGGGGGGGGGCATGAAAGTTAAACTTTTTGTCGATTTGACACTCCTTTTATAATAGGTTCTATATCAACCTAAGGTTTATAACTGGCCAAGGCAAATTCAGAGCTTTGACTAATTGTCTTTGAACGTGCCATGAGAGTTTGTTTAACCGAATCGCGATCACTTGGGCGGTTTCCAGAAAGCGAGCCTTGACCTGCACTCCAGTGATCGTGCAGATGAGCCTGACTGACTCATTCTCATTCTGATACGAAGTTCCGTTTCGACCAAGTTGAGTCGTGATCTGGCTAGTGATAATATACCAATTGTGGGATAATCTGACATCTTGGATATAATCAACCGAGAAGCAAGGCGGCGGGAAAGGAAGTCCCACGAGGAGATTACATTGGGACATGCGTGGGTTGTGTATTGACAGCCCAATTTGAAACGTAGGCACATCTAATCAGAGTTGTACACGAGAACAAGTAATTTTCATTGGTCCCTCCGATAACCCTTGAACTTAAATTTGGTCTTTAGGGTGAGTGGGAGGTTGTCCAAATCCAACTGGTAAGCAGGCCAGGCTCGGTCGGTCGGCTGGTATACACACGAACAAGAAGGGGTGGCGCATGACAAGTTCAGAAGTCAGCTCAGGTCGAACGTAGTAATGTTTCAGGAATGATCTTAAGAGCGCATGCGATACAAGATCCCGGGGCAAGTCCAAAGTCACAAGATAGTGAGGTGATTAGGGATGGGAAACGTGCACTGAAGTTTGGGTCTGATTGAACATCTATCCAGTTCATATAATTTCAGTCAACTATAAAACATTTTACAGTCCTAGCGATATCAATCAGTGTTCAATGACAGGGTCGAATGTGCGTTTTATAATGTACTGTTGGCATTGAACAACAACCGGTGAAACCACTCAGGTTAGCCTGGTCCCGGTCTGGAACTGACACCATCTATCACGGTGGGCGGAAAAGGTTATAAATACCGACGATTCTCCACTGTACGCCCAAGAAGTCTCAGAGGGATGTGTGATTGTGATAGTCGAAGTAAGCACAGATCACGAATTATAAATTACGAATCACGGACGCAACTAGAACACTGAATCGCACCAGTATTTACGCGCTGGCATCGCACGTAAGCGAGACACAGAAAAAAGGCAGCAGAAGTAGTAGTTCGTTTATTGGAAGAAATCAAGGGGATTAAATAATATGTACAAAGGATATACAGGTATCCAACAATCGCGTGCCCGTATTCTTGAGGTCATACAGCTTCTGTCTGTATCGTACGACTTCTGATTGGGCGGCACGATTCGCCTGTTATTTTTGTCCAGAAACTGAAACTCGTGGATGCTTGGCTGGCGATATTTGGAACGGTTGACTCACCACAGTTGCCCAGAAACGGTAAAGCATCGCTCAGGGGCTGGCGTTGTTCCATAGGTTAAGATCACTATGACTAATGAACTTTGGATCGTTCATTGTGCCAACGTGCAAACAAAACTGACCGGGATATACGCACCCAATGACACATTAGTCACACATTGCATCATTTCCAGATCCGAAGACCCAGGCGGTCAATAACCAAGAATTGTCTTATCGTTAAAAGGTCGCTTTGAAAGTAGTAGGGCGATTTAATCGCTCAATCAACCACGAGGATAAAATAATGTAGGCAGTATTTGATCATGTTCTAAAAAAGCTCGAATTACTTTAAATTTGAATAAACTGACCAGCTTTGCGTGTACCGATACTCTGTGTTCATGGAGTAATGCCTCAGCGACAGATCGTTTAATATAGATATATGCTTGCTACCAAGTATGGCGCCAACGCAATCATTAGAATAAGAAAGAACGGTCGATCTCTGCCAAAATCACACTTTTCTCTCCCTCTCTTTTTGCTTATCCACAGATTCATTATTTCTGGTCCATACGTTATCACATGTGAACTTCCAAGTAGTATTCGCACGGCGAAACAGCCGATCGTTTCGGAGATGACTGTTTGCCTGGCCAGCCCGATCCGGACTCGATTTGGACGGGCGTATCAAATGGCCCAATTCGATCCTCACTCCGGACTAATCTACATGATGGCCACAACTTCTTTAGATCGAGGTAAGATTGCTGGATTCCACATCTTAGTAAATGGACCCCGTCTGGTTGATCGATTCTCATTGGCTAGTTCAGGTCAGATGACATGACATCGTTTTCTCTCACGTCTTTGGCGTTCATATTCAGTACACATTCGCGATGGAAGTGTTATTGTCGTGTGTTTTCTTAGATTTTTTATCGGCTTTTGACTCTGTTTCATGTTCCCTCCTTCATAAACTGGAATCACTTGGCTGTCCCAATCGCCTACTGGCGTGGCTGGTCGACTACGTCACAGACAGAACTCGGCACACTCGGCTAGGTAGGAAAACGTCTAAACCACTCGTGAACAATTCGGGAGTGCTACAGGGTGCCGTATTGTCTCCGTTCTTGTTTTTCCCCACATCCGTGACCCGTCAGCGAGTTCTCCAGCCCAATTATTTAAATACGCTGATGTCGTAACCCTCTGCCAAGCCATTTCTGTGCCTGAGGACCTTCTAAATTTTTCGAATAATCTATGGCATACCCACGAATTTTCCGTTCGTTCTGGACTGTCTCTTAATTTATCCAAGTGCTTCGAATGCACTTTCTCCCTTTCTCGATATGTTTATCCTCGTGATCCCTGTCATAAACACAGATCCCCTAACTAGAGTTGATGCTGTGAAGTATCCAGGAGTTACAATTGACACTAACTTAAAGTGGACATCTCATATTTACAAGTCTGTACAGAAACTTCGCAGATTATCTTTTCAACTTCGAAGACTTAGGCAGTTCAATGCCAAGCAAAAAATGATTTCACTTTTTGTTTATCAATCTGTTTTCCCCGTTCTTCTTTATTGTTCCCCGGTGGCTTTTGCTAGTCTACTAGAGAAAGACTTTAAAATTCTTCGCCGAGGCTTGTCGATAATCAGTCGTGTGTCTTTTATACCCGTTGATGAGCTATATAAAAAACTGTAAGGACTTCACTTGTCCGCGTGTGAAACATTTGCATGGAAAATCCTCTCTGACTCAAATCATCCTTTACGTGGCGATCCATCCAAATGCTGCTCTTACACATCTACGCGTTCTACATATCGATTGTTACCCTCTCGCATTAACTTCTACAGAAATTCCACAGTTCCCTATCTCACCAGAATCCTTATAAACCGACAGCGCGTTTCTTCATAATTTCTCAGTAACCTTAAAGGTTAAATATTTTACTTGTATCTTTCCTCCTATTGATGAAATGTGTGTTTTTTTTGACTGAAATGCGAACATCCGTTCACGCAAAAATCCAAACAAATGTAATACAACGATTCCACGAGGAATTTTCAGTTTCAAGCTAAACGAAAGATGGTGTCTTCTGTTGACGTTCTTGAAAATGAACTCTTTTCACTTACGACATCTACTTTCCAACCGCAGCAGAATGGCAAGGAGGTTTATTTCCGTTAAGTGACGTTTTTATTCATTTTTTGTTTACCATCTAACCCTTTATGCATTGATGGAATCAGGGATTTGTGCATGGAATTTTATTGTTTGTAAGCATTTCTGTACCTGTAATAAGTTTATCGGTAAGAATATTTTGTGATGGAGACTATTGTTTTGCATGATAAACTGACAAAATGTGTCCAATAATCGTACACGGTGAAAAATTTGCTCACGCTAATGACAACCGAAACGGTTCACTTACTTATATCTGGCTCACTTTCTGATTAACCCCGTACAAACTCTCACCTATCCTAGAGAATAACTTAAATGTCTATTATTATCCTCTTTCTCAAGTTATTGTTTCCTCTTCGCTCTTTTTAAACGAGGATTTCGCTATCTTCTCCCTTGTGAGTTTTACAAACCCTCGATGTTTCACCTTTTCTGTGAATGCAGCCTATTTTAGACCCACCAAAGTGGGAGGACGAAAAGCCGAGATCAGGGGCTATAATCGGGTTGGTGAACCATTAGCAGTTAACCTAGGGGAGTTGGCCAAAAACCCTGATTCCAAACCAACCAAGAGGAGGCGTACGAACCGCATACAACTTCCTGGTTGTGCCAATGGTCACCGGCTCAGTTGGATATTGAGGTGTTTTGGGCACCTTAGACTTTTGATCCCGTCCAACGGGTGTATGATTTGATGAACTGGACACCGGCCCCCAAGGAAGTGCAGTTTTCACACACCGCCATACATCTTATTAAAATTACATGTAATTCGTCAGTCTGAATCAACAAGTATTTCTGAAGGTTTGGTGAGATATTTGCCGCTGCAGAAGATTCCCGCGATCGACCTGTAATAAAATTCATTCATTTGTTGACTGAAGTAATAAAATCCGGTTTTATTTTCTCTTTTAGAAATAACCGCAGCTAATCAGACCGGTGTATGCACAAATGCAGTAATTCAAACACCAATTGATCAAGAAGTGAGTCACGCACAAAACAAAACAATTAAATTCGGTAATCTTCATCTCCCAAAACATTGTGTCATGTCTTTTTTGATGCCTTTTGATGACACATGGAATACAGCCAAATCTTTGTGTGATGATGATTTGTGAGGTAAAGTCCACGTGTTATTTGACCAGTGAAAATGCTTGGACGTAGTGCGTAGCGGTTTCGTCCTGGTTAGCGATCACTGACCGCGTGTATTCACTCAGTCCAGTGGGATTCGAAATAGTGCACGAGGATCATCGAACACGCGCTTAGCACTCGGTCTATCCGGACTGGTTTTCATGAGCTTGCTACAGGTCAACATTTAGTGTTACATTGCTCAACCATCACAGTCATTGAAAGTAGTCGGGTTTTTTCCATACGGTGGTCTACTCCTTGATGCAAGAACACTCTGCATGATTCCAACACTTTTAGGCAATAAATCTGCTCCCAACTAGAATCAAATAACCAAGTGTAAGTGGTTTAAGAGATTTTTTTCTTTTGTGAACTGACTTATGTGAATTGTTATCGTGCAAATGTTTCCGGGAGTCGTCCATCTTGCAGTGAGACTAAGTGAGGTAACAAATATATATAAAGATTGTTCAACTAGGTGGAGTATAAGTAGTGGCACTGGAGATACCTTCCACAAAGCCCAGTTATATCATCCAGTCTGTTTGAATCCTGTAATGCTCAAGCAAAAGAGCGTTATGATTACGCATATTACGATATTTTCTGTGGATATTTGCAGCCTTTCACTGTATGGAAGTCTTAGCTGACTTTCCGCGATCTCTCGTCAACTTAGATGGAGCTCTTCCGCTCACGGTTGATTACACTGATAACCGTTGCCCCATCCAAACTAGGACAGTACACTCACCAGCGCGCCGCTCATTTGACCGGAAGCTTGAGCAGCTTTATGATGACAGTTCGTGGCTTGTTTTAATACGTGAGTATGTTTGACGGTTCTTCGTGAAGAACGTAGAACAAGATTTGATACTAATAGATCAACATGAGGGTGTTTTAGGAGCTCTCAATCATAGCAAAGCTTTTTCTGATTGTATGCAAACGACCACAATTATTTTACCCTAACAGAGACGATTCATTTTTCGATGGTGTTGCACATTCGAAAATCGTGCTGAGAGTTAATTTTAGCACAGCTGGATTTAAGTTATTGCCATTCATCTACGGACATGTTTCATAGCGGCATTCCTTGCTCAACTCGGTTTGAAATGTTGATGAATCAAGGAAAGGCCACGTTGGAAAGTGTTGCCATATGATCCAGAGAACACCGTTTGGCACGGCTAGTTGATCGCACAATCATTTCAGCGAGTAATCAAAAGATAAGCAAAGTTTTTGAGAGGAGGAGAGCAGTTAGTTATACGTGAGTAACACAATTGAATCAATTGAAAGCATTCACGAATTCCGCTAGAAGTATGCAACGGTTGTGCAACTGTTTTATTTCTGGAGGGCAATCCGCAGTGCACGTCTGATGGGGTTCCAAACTTGTAACAACAATATTTTTTTGCCTTTCATTCCAGGGTTTTATCTTGTCCCCAACAGAAAGCGAGAACCGGAAACTCCAAAAGCATCCACTGGCTGGGGCTGTCGCTTGTCACGCATGTTCCAAATCGCTCCTTGGGCGCTTCAAACTAACTCCTACTGATCCAGGAAAAGCGTTTGTATGTGCTTTCGCCCGGGGTAAGGAATGCTTTCCCTAAATCACACAACATGTGAATACATTCACACTAAATCCTGCTTCAAACCACCTTATTTACGTTAATGTAATGCTATGGTGTTTTGTGGCACTCTAACAAAGGTCAAAATAATTGAATCTAGTGGTTATAAACAACGACACTTCATGGAACTTTGTTGTGAAGAGAACTATTTTCAGCATACAATTGTGATACCGAACTTTTTTATGGGCGGAATACTGCCCAGGCTGAGACAGGTGAATTTGCTTGGGGAGTTCACAACCAGAGCTTTCGGTTTACCAAAGCCTGAGCCGTAAGGCAGCTGGACGGTATGTAGAAACCGCAATCGATTTGGGGGGCCGGTGTCCAGTTCAACGGATCGTACGCTCATTGAACGGGGCCAAAATATTCAAGTTGTCCATATATCTCTATGACTAAGGAGGTGTATGTGTGTGGTTCATACGCCTCTTCTTGGTTGGTTCCGAATCAGGGTTTTTAGCGAACTCTCCTAGGTGAACTGTCAATGGTTCGCCAAACCGGTTATGGCCCCGGATGTTAACCACTATGAAAGGGGTCAAAATTATTGAATCTAGCGTTTGTAAACAAAAATACTCAACCGAATTTAAATGCAATATAAATGTTTGTGATAACTGACGGAGAGCACTGGACAGCTGTTTTGTCCTTTTTGGGACTCGTCAGCAGTGCGTAGTTTTAGTGTCCCAATGAGAACTCGAACCACGAACCTTCGAATTGAGAGTTTGAACACTTACCCTTGAGGTACACGGTCGACGGTCATCATCTTGTGCGAACGACTCAATCAAAAAAGTACGCACTGATGATGAGTCCCAAACAGGACGAAACAACTGCCCAGTGCTCCTTGTCGGTCATCACAAATACCTCCAGCGCGTTTAAATGCATTCAATTAGTGGACAATTAACAGTTTTCCAAGAAGCAAAACCCACCCCGAAGACCATCAACAAGTCCCGATGCCTCTGAAGAATCGAAAGAGCTAATGTTACAAGTAATATTTTGACCATACAATCAATATACTGAATTTTAGAGCCGCATAATATACTGGATCTTTTTCGTTGGAATCCGACCTCTTAGAGATCCTCAGAATCGGGACTTTCTTTAACTTGTATCAGTGTTATGTAACAGGAGCGTTTATCGTGTGGTAGGTAATATTACGCACGACTCCATTTTGTCTCATCTACCTCAAAGTGTACCAAATACTTCTGTGAAGTCCAAACACAATTTCGCGGAGTTTTCTAACATGTGACACTACAGCCCTCTCAAACAGCCTTGATTGACCAATTTAAGCATTAACCGTATTTTTCAAAATGTACATTTTCAAGTGAAGATATCTTGTTATTACTAAACTCATGGCATTACAATGCACTCATTGTCTCAAAACCGGATAGTGGATTAATCATACTCCCAATTACATGAATTGACCAGAAAACAAATCTACCAGTAGGGAAATGGTACTCAACTGAAAGCGTGTAGAGTTTTGTTCATTGCCTGGAAAGTATGGCTATTTGATGAAACCAGAGAAGGTAGGAAAGCGCCAACACATGAAAATAGGTTGGTTGGATCGGTGTTCATCGACTGTGAGTTAAAATCAGTCACACGCGTCCAGTCATATTTGACCTGACTGGTTGTCCCGAAATGATGTCCCCTTCAGGGCGTAGCCCGACTCCGTGACATACAGATTCCTGTGGATTACGTCAACGAGCTTGAATCAACGGTAATATAAAAGTGGCCGGGATTCAGCGCACTTTTACCCACTTCCGTGCGTGAAGCAGAGTTGTTCACATAAGAGTACGGTGAAAAAGTTTGTTCTCTCCGCATGGAAGATTATTCTACAGCTCTCGGTGATTGATGGTCCATCTGCTTGTTGGACTATACCTTCGAACTAAAGATTCGTCCTTGCATTGCGTTACATACAGTCCATGCATGGAACATCTTAAATTAACACTAGANTATTGAATTAAAAGCGGTTCCGTAATAGTTCATACTTTTTTCAGTGAATAAACGCTTGACTAGTAAGCTCCCAGTAATAAATTCACACCTCATGCAGTTCCTGTTAGTACTGTGCAGACAAGTGCGCGACCAACCTTACTCCTTCTGCCATACAAATAGCACGAGCCTTGAGTTCGCAATGATGCCAATGACTTTAACGGATCAATTAATGCATCAGGTTTGTCAGCAGCCAATATGATCAATATCCGTTTACAATCATGAACACGCCGAGAAAGTAATCTCGGTACGGAAAAAATAAAAATAGAGATCTAATTTTTCCATGAACAAACACAAGTTTATTCTATTCTTTCATGAATGTTTTTTCTTATTACCGGTTTCTAAACCCTTAGCAGGGGGAGATAATTTCGGTGAAACTGGTGCCCTTGGTCCATTTCAAGGTGGATATTTGGATTTGTCAACGTACGAAGCACGGTGGAGTGTACAACATTGGCAAAAACAATTATCGATCGATTTATCGAATTTGAAAGCAATGCGACGTAGGCATGCTGCCATTAGGAAGGAATTGACTGGGCCAGCACGTACTGGTTCCGTCAAATTATTGGTTTACAACAATGGGGATGCGCGCCTAATCGCCCCGAAACTCTGTATCGGTTCGTCTATCGACGGAGTGAGTTGCTGCTTTTATACATTTTTGTATCTGTGGCAAAAATTTGCTTCGGTCCCAAATTCTTGGATGTTCAAAGTGTTTCAGTTTCAGTTTCAGTTTGTACAACCACTAACCATGCACCTTCGTACACCGTTTTAGTTGCTGTCTTTTGGCCGCCCATTTGGATGAAGAATGAGAGAAAGACAGGAAAGTTGAAAGTAGAGTCGAATAGAAAATGGAGAATTTCAGTGGTCCATGCTTTCAAAGAAATTGAGATGCACGAACGCCACTGTTTACGACACTCAGCCATATCACATAGTGTCTTTAAGCATCGGTTAGGATCATCCCGAGGTCCCCATCCAGGGAGCCTAACGGAACTTATGTCACCTAGTACCCACGTATCAGGTCTTAGCTTGACCACCCTTGACTTTATCCACCCACTATCTGCCTCGGCGAACACCGCTCGCTGTGGCAACCGATTTGGTGACATGCGTAACACATGCCCCAACCAAAATAATCTACGGAGGCCGATCACTTGCTCCAGTGGGCGACCGCATTAACCTAACACTCTGCGCCTAACCTCAGCATTGCTCGTCCGGCTGCCCCACCAGATTCGTGCAATGTTGCGTAGACAGCCGTGTTCAAACACCGACAGTCTTTCTCTATCCCGTTTTCTCAATGGCCAAGTTTCTGCTCCACATAGCAGAATTGGCCGAACTGCTGCTGCATACACTCGACCCTTCACAGACAGCCGGATGTCGCGACGGCGTCACAGATGTCTCAAGTTGGCAAATGCCAACCGAGCCTTCTGTATGCGAGCTGATACCTCATACATGATGCGTTCACCGGGTGAGATGTAGCTGCCCAAATAACAAAACTTATCCACTTGCTCTATTACTTCCCCAGTTAGAGTAAGGCTGGATGCTGGACTAACCCAGTCTTGTAGTAACATTTTGCACTTTGAAGCTGCGAACGCATACCAAACATGGCTACGCTGGCGCTCAAGCTATCCAGGAAAGCTTGCAAATTACCTGGGTCTTTGCTTAACAGCACAATGTCGCCTGCATACTCCAGATCAGACAGTCTGCCATCTGGAAGCAAATCGAGGATAGGACTGTTTCCATAATCAAATCTGTAACAAAGTTAAATAGAAAGGGAGAGAGAGGGCAACCCTGACGAACACCACTTTCCGTGATGAAATCGGGAGAAAAAGTGCCGTAAGCTCGGAATCCGCTCCGGTTATTAGTATGGAGCGATTGTAATATTGAAATTACCTTCTCAGGAACACCCTTCAGGGAAAGGCAGCGCCAGAGTTTAGAGCGGTCGACTGAGTCAAAAGTCACTTTCAAATCGAGAAAAACAGAGACGGCGGGTCTACGAAAAGAATCTCGATGCTCCAGAATTTCGCGGAGAGTGAAGATGTAGTCGATGCAACCTATATCAGGTGTACAAGCTGGTGTTACTGGCACCAAATCGTGTTTCCGGCCCGAGGTTTGAATCTGGTTAGAGGCAACCAACAACACAGTGTTGTGTTTTGGTGTGGACCATCTGACAGGTGTCCTGGAGTTTAGAGCACAACCGCAGTGGCTCCATGTGACAGTGGAGACCATCTCTGCCACTGGTTAATCCATTGAAGTGCGTTTATAAACGAACCATTTTAGTTGCCCTTTTCGTACTTTATTCAGTTGTCAAAACTTTCATGAACATTGTGGGGGGGTCTATTTGGTTGTTTCCTCCTCCAGTCGACCAAGTTTCTGGTAGTTAGGTTACCGATGACCATCAGAGAACAGCAGTTCCTTGGGGCTGTGAATTCCCCTCTGCTCCACTGTGTAATGGAAAAAAGCCTTTCATCTTTGCCTATTCAATATACAGACGTGAATCATTGAATTGGTAGGCTAGCACTAAATTCAGTCGGTTTGGACAGGGTAGCCGTACTTTCAGAACTGGTTCTCAGTTCCTCAACGTTCCTCAAAACGTTCGACATAAATTACTTGTAGTGAATCACTGAATAGTTATTCTTACTGCATACATTATTACCATCTGAAAATATTTTAAAGAACGATAAGTTAATTCACTGTAGTAATCGAATTAGGTGTCGATTACGGATCACGAATCACGGTCGCAACTGAGGCACACAGTCGCACTAGCAATCGTACACTGGAATCTCCCGTTACCGAGATGCAGGACTAGTGGTTAGTTTATTTGGGAAAATCAATGAGATTAAGTAGCATGCACAAAGGAACTTTATTGGTTATATAGGTTTTGATCAATAACCTCCTTGTATTCTTGGCCTTATACAGCTTCTGCCTGAACCGCACGGCTTCTGATTCGTCGATACGATTAGCCTGTGGTCCGTTGTTCATAAACTGTAACGCATTGTTCCGTGGCTGGCGTTTACTCAGTAGGATCATCGCAATAAAACAGGACAACCCAAAATCCTATTGTCTCACAATTCAAACCATGCTTGTAACTCCGCCGACCGCGCACAAATACGTAGGACAATTTTCATATCCACTAACAGGGAACAAATAAATTGTATATTCTTTATCTAAATAGGTTTTTGGATGAACTTTATCGGATATACTGATTAAAAAATTTTGACTGCTATAATTTTAGGACAGTAAAATCAATTTTTATTCCGCGGCGTATCAACGGTTTCCATATGAGAAGATGCTTTAACAGCAAACGGTATGATTGTAAGACTGAAGTGGGTGTCCGGACCCGTCAAATTATTCCGGAATTCCTTTGTAATCACAGATGCACTGAAGTATATTCCCAGCTTCTTCATCGATTACTCACTCGCTTGCCTGCAGCCTTAAACCACACGACACATCCGCGGCTAACGATCACAGGGGTTGAATGGACTGGATTTCTCTCGTCCGGGTCATCTGGTAGAGCAGAATTAGTATCCCAAATTCTCTCGCAAAATTTCAGCCACCAAATTCTGAATTCGTATTTGAGTATGTTGCCGAGAATGGGAAAGACGTGCAAAATTCAAATAGATTTCTTACGAAATGAACAATCGTTAATTTACGGGCAAAAAATGCATGCCCCCGGAACACAACAACAATTTGGACTAGCAGACTGAAACGTGATCCTAGTTGTCATCTGCAAGGAATCATATTATTTCCAGGATACTGAAAACGACCTATCGTGAAGGATATTTGATGAACTGACTCAATTGATGCTGCCCCCTCACCTAAACACTTTATTTGCAAATCTCTAGATGATTCTCAGAAACGCGGATGTTGTGGTTTTCTTGATCATTCTTCTGCCTTCGATCCCGTTTCACGATCTTTTCTTCTTCGAAAGTTACGGTCATTTGGTTGCTCCTTCAACTTATTGTCGTGGTTGAAAGACTATTTCACAAGGAGGATTCGAAGGACGAAAGCAAGTGGCACTATTTCAAAACCATCGGTGAATAATTATGAGGTCCTTTAGGGTGCTGTACTCTCTCCCTACTTATTTTCAACTTTCATCAGTGACTTACACTTTATCGTACCAGTCAAGACCTTTAAATATTACAATGATTTGGTCTTATGATAAGCCATTTTTAAACAATCTGACATACAATCAGTTTCCGACAGTTTATTACAAGTGCAATCATTCTCGAATCAATCCGATTTTCAGTTGAATGCTTCCAAATGCTTCGAATGCATTTTTAGCCTTTCCCGATCTGAATATCCTTTGGAACCCTCAGTCATCAATTCCGTACCAATCACCAGAATACACCACCAATACCTAGGAGTCACCATAGATAGCAATTTACGGTGGTCCTGTCATGTGCTAGCTTGTATTGGTAGACTGCGTTGCTTATCCTTCCATATGCGCAAGCTACGACAATTTCGAATGATGCATGAAACTGTATGTTCTTTTGTTTATCAATTCATTTTTCCTGTCATATTTTATTGTTCTCCCGTTATTTTCCCTGGACTACGTACAAAGGATTTCATAACTCTACATCGCGGATTAGTAATTATCAGCCGTGTTTCTCTTATTCCTGTAAACCTTCTGATCACAAAATTGTGTAATTTGCATATCACTTCATGTGAAAATTTCGCTCACAAGATACTCAACGATCCCATTCATCCGCTCAGTCCCGATTTATCTGTTTGCCGCCACAACCCGATCCATTTATCGCTGCTTACCCTCCCACATAAACATTTATCGCAACTCAACGGTTCCCTATCTGGCTCGTATTCTCACTGACCCAGAGAAGATCCGCAACGAACTAATTTTAAACCTACAGATATGATCTCCTGTTTTGGTTTTATCATTATTGTATATAAGTATTTATTTCACTTTTTACCCTATGGTAACGGCGACCAAATTTTATTTTTGACAGTTATTAAAATAAAATAAAATATAATACAATACAACAAAAACAAGTTAAATCCAAGCGTGAAATAATCCTCTAATTAGTTATTTCGAACTTAAGAACTTAAGAATCTTATCCATAACACTTAAGGTAGTTCATGTATAGCAAAACAATTCTCCCTCTTTTTAGTATTTTATCATTGTGTCACCGGATTATAACAACAAACTCGTGGAAGAATACGATTCAGTGACGTCCACTTATTGTTTTTCAAGTCACTCACTTTCAGTTGAACCTCTATCGAGGAATATCCCATGCAAAAGGTGAAACTTTTCAACCAAATTCGACCGATTAACTTTCATCTTTGAATTAGCAGTTTTTTTTTACATAGATGAAAGGAAATACACGAGTTTTCTCAAGTTCATGCATCGAATTCCCCCCTCCCCCTCCCGTCCGGTTCTCATCGATCTCTTCGCAGTTGCGTGATTCGTGTACTGTTCGGATGGAACTTGAAAATCCAGTCAAACTGTTCTACACCGCCGATGGAAATGTGGTCAATGATTTGTGCGATTTGTACACATGGGCCGAACGAAACTACAGACAAGTGATCAAGCAGGCTTTGCATTGGCAAACCTGGTGTTCCACCCCGACCTGGCCGACGGAAGATACATGGACCGAGGATGCGGTATGTTTGGACCTAATTCGACAGACTGTACGCCGTCAGAGTGTGGATTGTCGAGGTAGCAGTGTGGACAAAACCACGGAGCTCTTAACGACTCCGGATGTGATCTACTACACACATCCAGATGTAAAACGACTAGTGGATATGGTATGTTGACACTCTTGGCATGTGATCGAGTCTCAGTCTTTCTTGTAACTAGTTCACGCTTTTCAGTTGGATCCGGGCACAGGACGCATAAATTTCATATTGTAGGTAAGGTCTAGTTATCGCAACTGATGTCATGTGCTTCGCTTGTTAGATCCTCGGAGAAGAGAGAGAGAGATCAGAATGTTTCCTGGATCTAATTAACATTTAGTCCCAAGAACCCCCTTCTCCCCACTATGAGTTGGTGAATAAAATACTGGATACATGCATGTTCCCATTTGCATACTATCGGGAATATGATGAATTACGCAAGCACGTGTATTCATATTGATGGCAATCCGCACTGATATCCAAGATGCCTTTTTTAAATTCTGAATCAGCCGCTCTATAGAAAAAATCGGAGTGTTTCCGCCTAAATCGAACCGAATGAAGTTTCGCTTTTATGTTTTAAAGAACGATTACTAGTTTAGCACTTGATAGATCGGTCCAGCTGGAATAACTAAATGCACACTTACTTTCTTAGGACAAAGTTCGTTTGAATACAGGACCACCATACTGCTACACTATATTCTGTGAGAAAGTGACAAGCTTCACCCTAAGCGCAGTTATCTGAAGGGCTGAGGATAAATACACGTGATTAAGCATGAATGGGGTGGATATAAGAATTGATTGATTTGAACTGACTATCCTTCAGACTTCACCTACACGCACAATCCTCAGTTCGTTGATTTAACCATACACTCAGAAGCACTAGCT